TAAATCCTCCCCAAGAAGGGCTTGAAAAAAGCAGGAAGAAGAATTTATTAGGAGGTGGCCAAACAGGAGGCAGTGCAGTAGGGGACTTGAGGGTGCTGCAGTAATGCAGAGGGGTACCTGGACCAGAGTGAGGGACCCAGTGGAAGCCTCACTGAGGTCTGGAAGGTCTAAGTTGGTCTTCCAAGAATGAAAAGAGAGTTAGACCTCGCATGAAGGGGAGGGAAAACCATTCTGCAGAAGCGGAGCAGAGAGAGAAAGGAAGGAATAGAAACAATTGTGCCCTGGCTGGAGACTGAAGCCAATTTGGCACCTTGCCTGTGGGAGGAAAGTGACACACAGGACAGATGTGGAGGCCAGAGTGGCAATCAGTCATGTGTGAAAGGTAATCCACTCCCGGACAACAGTGCCTCCGAAGAAGGACATGAGATTCAACGGGGACTACCACCAACTCGTCAGAGGTTTATGTTTGTCCTCTCAGTTCAGACGTGGTAAGGGTAGAATAATGTGGCCACACATATTGAAATCTAGGAGAGACACTGGAGAGGCACACTACTGCCCAGACCAGTGTTACTATTTACAACCTATAACCTGTGATGGGCCGGGTATAAAACCAAGCCTGGCAAGGCCCCACTGAGATTTGAACTCAGATCACTGGATTCAAAGTCCAGAGTGCCAACCATTACACCATGGGGCCACAAGGAATCTTTGCCTAAGACACATATGTATCCCTTACTCCCATAGGCAAATTTCAAAGCACTGGTTTTACCACACTGTACCACCCACCCTGCACGTCTAGAAGGTTGGGGCACAACCGACCTCCCACTTCAGGACCAGAGATGACCGCCCTAAGCCCCTTGTGCTCAGGACAACCCTGTTACGTAACACCAACCTGTACGTTTCCTCTGGGTTTCCTGGGCCTCACAACCTGCAATGAGAAGTCAGAGTGTCAGGCTCAATGTTGAGGAGATGTGCCTTGGGGACCCTGAGCTACCACAGGGCACGGCTGACACTCTGAAGCTGCCACATGCCTGGAAAACCAGCTTCTTGTGTAGGCACAAGGCATGTGACAGAGGAGATCTCCAGGTAACCCCACCTTCAGCGGCACCAAGGTCACCACAGCCAGTGAGTTTCTACCAGAGGCCCCAGAAGCTGAGGGCGATAGTGCCTCTGGCCATGCCTGTCCTAATTCCTGGCCAGAGTCCAGGGTTGTGAGAACACGGTTGTCTGATGCCAAGGGTGGGGCTGGCTTGTCTTGCAGCGGCAACATCCAGAACAGGGGTCTTTCCACCTGCTCTCGGCATTGCCCAATGGGACTGCCACCAACTTCCCCACCACAAATAAGACTTTAGTAAATGTCAGAGTTCATGTCTCTCTATGGGCCTCTTTAAGGATGTGTGTTTACAAAATTGTTGGCCCCAGGGTCTGTAAGAGTGAGAAAGCAAAGCATGAAGTAGGTGATTAGGGCAGGACTCCCCAGACACCCCGCACTAGCTTGTAGTGTCACCAGATGAAGTGGCAAAAGGCATCTGGCAGGGCCTTGGCCCCCACTCAGGGGCAGTCCAGGCGCTCATCAACCTTGGAACTGGGGTGCCGCTGGGACAGGGTTCCCTCATATGAATCCACATCTTCGGGGCAGTTTCACAGGAACGCCATTTGCTCTCCTAGCTCTACCCTCACGGGCTGCCATCTTTTCTAGCTTCCTGGTGTGTCTCTGCAGCGGTGATCTGGAAACTTGCACATTTTGAGGCTCTAGGTGGGAATGAAGTTAGAAGGACAGGCAACGCTCAAGGCATCTCTCCCTTTGCTCCAACCACGTGGGCTTCCCTTGAGGTTCGCAGATCTTGCCAAGCAACCGAAGTTAGATGACCGGAAGGACAGGTAACGCTCAAGGCATCTCTCCCTTTGCTCCAACCACGTGGGCTTCCCTTGAGGTTCGCAGATCTTGCCAAGCAACCCCTGCCTCAGCACCCAGCCCCTACTGCTTCCTGCTAGAATGCCCCTGCGTGTGTCCTCACCTCAGCCAGGCCTGGGCAACAACCCCCCTTCACCAGCAGCCTGTGCTCCATCTCTTCCCTCTGTTTTATCAAAATAGCCAGAGTGATGACATATTACGGAATTTAATAACTTATTATTTTATGTCTGTCTCATTTTCCACCTGAGTCCTGCAAGAACAGGAACTGTGGCTGATTTCACTGGGGTTCTAAGGCAGGGAAAGTGCCTGTTGTGTAATAAGTGCTCAGCAAATATTTTGTCACCTGGCCCAGCCTAGGTGGCGCAGTCTGAAACTTATTGGACGAGAAGGATGAAAGCCACAGAGCCAACTATAGGTTCAGATCCCAGCTCAGCCAGTAAACATGCTGGGGGAACACGGGTGGGCACCCACAGTCCTGGAAGCCGGAGCAGAAAGGGGATGTTGGCGTGATAAGACTCCATCAGAGGCGCTTCTCTCTCATGCACGCATGCCTTTCTACAATAAAACATGCACATACACACACGTACACACACCCACTAATTTCCTTTCACTTAGCTAATTGGCTTACATAGAATTAAAATGATTGGTTCTGCAATGATTTTCCTGACATAACTTGAATTTGCAATAATTTCTAGATTATTTTCCCCCCTCAATGCATGGCTTAATTATTTCCAGTTATGTATGTCATCTCAATTCAATTCATGCAATGTCCTGATGAATCTGGGATTTTTCTCCCATTTTGCAGATAAGGAATGAGGACTCATGGTGACTGGGTGTGACTGCACAGTGGCCCCAAAGGCATCTACCTCTGGTGCTGGGACTGCCTCTATGACCACGGATCCTCAGGTGGTTTTTTGACTTTGTATTTTTCCCAAGGAGCCAGGGTCTAAAACTTCTAGCTCCTACCTTGCCTTCATAGAGAGGGACAGAAAGCGCAGGAGGCAGACTGTCTGACTGGCTGAGCCTGCAGGGCTCCTGGTGGCTTTCCTTTCTTCCTGCAATGCAGTTCTCATAAATAAAGTTTACAGAAATGGAAATCAATATGAGCAGAACTAAAATAGATGAGATCCTTTCAAAGCTTCTCCAGCTTGCAATGTTTCTCTGCCACATAGTGGCATAGGATCCTAGCACGCAATGACATGTGCCAGGGCTCAGAGCCTGGACAAGGGAAATTGATACTCACTGGTGATTGGTTGTCATCCTTTGTTGACGTCAGACGTCAGTTTTGCCCAATCAGAATGTGCATCCTGCGTACTCGCAGTCCATTGGTCTAAATTAAAATTAAATTTAGCCAATCGAACAGCTGGCTTTTCGCGCCCGGCAGCGGCTATAAAAGGCGCTCTTTTCCCCTCCTCTAAGCAGTGTCCTTAGCACTAGCGGTCTCAGTGTCTAGTCATGTCCGGCCGTGGCAAGCAGGGCGGCAAGGCGCGCGCCAAGGCCAAGACCCGCGCTTCCAGGGCCGGGCTGCAGTTCCCGGTGGGCCGCGTGCACCGCCTGCTGCGCAAGGGCAACTACTCGGAGCGGGTCGGGGCCGGCGCGCCGGTCTACCTGGGTGCATGCCGCCCGAGATCCTGGAGCTGGCGGGCAACGCGGCGCGCGACAACAAGAAGACGCGCATCATCCCGCGCCACCTGCAGCTGGCCATCCGCAACGACGAGGAGCTCAACAAGCTGCTGGGCAAGGTGACGATCGCGCAGGGCGGCGTCCTGCCCAACATCCAGGCCGTGCTGCTGCCCAAGAAGACCGAGAGCCACCACAAGGCCAAGGGGAAGTGAACCGGCACGAACGGGAAGTTCGCTTTATTTCTCGCCTGTTTAAAAGGCTCTTTTCAGAGCCACTTAAAAGTTTCTTCGGGAGAACTGAGCACGAAGTTTTGAGGCCTTCCGTTAATCCACGTCTTTAACTCAGTGGTACTGAATAGGAACAGTGTTTTAACGGTGGTCTATCTTGACCTTAATTTTAATAGTTTCTATGCAAATCATGGGTTCTGGTTTTCGGCATTTTCAGTTATACTTTAAGCACGCCTCTGAGGCCCAGCGACTGGGTACATGTCTCAGTCCTGGCATCCTGAGTGCACTGGGCCCGAGTGTGTGTTACCTAACTCCCGGAAGGATGGAAAAGATTCAAGGCGTAGTTGGTCCCCGTAAGGGTACTTTTTCACTTGCGCTGTCTCCGCAAGTGCACATACCGTTGTGTTGATTTAAACCAAACAAAACGGCAGCGAGGCGGTTAAACCGTGTGCACAGAAGGCCAGATTTCCATCTGGTAGACAGGTTCGAATCTTCACCTTGGCAATTTGAAGAACACATTGGGTGTTATGTGTGCCTCCAATTTCTATAGAGTGGAGACGTGGAGAAGTGTTGCACCGTAACTTGCTCCCCAGCACGTACGCCTCTGGCAATAAAGTCTTGGACCATCTTAACTGAACGAAATCAGATCTTTATTCCAAGTAAATTCTTTTGAAAGCAATTATATAAATGTATATTTTTTTTTTTTTGGAGAGATTTTCGCTATAGGGCGCGTGCGCTTGCCAGACAGAGAGAGACATAGAGACAGAAAGCGAGAAATCACCCCCCAGGGGGGATGGTCACGCCGCAATCCCTTCTCCATTGTCCTGGGATCTTAGGCCCGCACGCACACGTGCCCGGCGTGAGTTTTAAGCTGCCGGGTTCAGAACTCGAACCTCGGTCGACTACATGGGAGTCCAGCGACATAGCCACTATGCTAGTCGCTGGTTCTCGAAAGCAATTATATTTCTAAGATAATAAATGATGATCCACTGATTTTTATATCTGGAAATGAAGAGTTTGTGGGACCAGCAGTTAGCGTAATGGCTATGTCGCTGGACTCCCATGTAGTCAACAGCGCTTCAAGTCCCGGACCCGGCGGCTTGAACTCACACCCGGCATGTGTGCGTGCATGCCCCGGATCCCCTGAGGAGAATGGAGGAGAAGGGATTGCTGTGTGGCCATCCCCTCTGGGCGGTGATTTCTCACTTTCTATCTCTCTGTCTCTTATCTTTCTGGGGAGCGCACGTGCCCTATAACGAAAACCTCTCCAAAAAAAGAAAATAAAAAGTTTGTGTAATAATGTGTCTAAAATTATTAGACCTTAAATCCTCACATGTTTATACTTCCTTTGGGAAAAAAAAAAAGTCTTAACTTTTAAGCGTTTGAGCTCAATCTGAATGAAGAGATGTATGCATAAAATATACACTGGATTTTGTGCCCCCAAAGGTGTGAAATAACAATAGAAATGTATACTATACTGACTTAAAGTATTTTAAAACTCCTGGCTTTATTTTGTTCTACTGTGGCTTCTAGTAAAATTTAAATTATTTTGTGTCGCTCTCATTTACTTATACTGAAAGCCGCTGACATAGATGTAACTCATAACTGAAGGGGAGAAATGGAAATTAAATATCAGACCATAGACAACTAAGAATGTCAAAGAATTTGGAAAAACTCTTTGGAATACTTGACCAATCCGGTTACCCGTTTCCGTTGGGAGGGCTTCCTCGTGCCCAATCAGCTTCAGTCTTTCACTATAAATGAGCGACAGCCTCTTCTCCCTCTTCGCCTATCTTATAACTCCAACCATGGCTCGTACGAAGCAGACGGCTCGCAAGTCCACCGGCGGCAAGGCCCCGCGCAAGCAGCTGGCCACCAAGGCGGCCCGCAAGAGCGCCCCGGCCACGGGCGGCGTGAAGAAGCCGCACCGCTACCGGCCCGCAACCGTGGCGCTGCGCGAGATCCGCCGCTACCAGAAGTCCACCGAGCTGCTGATCCGCAAGCTGCCGTTCCAGCGCCTGGTGCGCGAGATCGCGCAGGACTTCAAGACCGACCTGCGCTTCCAGAGCTCGGCCGTCATGGCGCTGCAGGAGGCGTGCGAGGCCTACCTGGTGGGGCTGTTCGAGGACACCAACCTGTGCGCCATCCACGCCAAGCGCGTCACCATCATGCCCAAGGACATCCAGCTGGCGCGCCGCATCCGCGGGGAGAGGGCGTAAACTCGGGGAAAGCTCAACCTTATCCCCAAAGGCTCTTTTCAGAGCCACCCACTTAAACGCTGGAAAGAACTGTTCCTCTGCATCGTTTGTACTGCCAGTGGTCGCAGGCCCCTTTTCAGGGCCACACTGGTCTGCCAAGCAGTAATTTTGTTGCTGTGGTTACTTGCATACTCAAGCAAGATTGCAAGTCATTTGCTGTCATGTGTTCAGCTTCGTTTTTGTGTGGTACTGTCTCATACTGTCTTACTAGGGATCCCCAAAAATTGATGTGTGTACTTCAAAGTTCTTATGCTCCAAAATACTCTTTTACATTTATCTATGGGTCTCTGAAGTACCTCCATTCTCTAGTCTTAATTACGGGAGATCAGAAACAGTCAATGCTGGATCAAAATGGAAAGAGGTTAGCTTGGCTTGTATTGCCAAAAGTGATTGGAACAGTTTCTCCCCATACTTTAGACTGTGTGTAGTTTTCTCTGAATTCAGGGAATTTTAAGCCAAAAGTTCGAGTTTGCTCAAGATCTTTAGTTTCATGATACCGTGGAGAAGTATTTGAGCAGAGAACCAAGTAGATTGTCCTTGTAGTGCCTTGTAATTGTGTGTGGAGGGGTGTTTAGAGTGGTGGTGGAAGAAGGAAGAAATCTGTCTCGGCTTTTTCACAAGAAAGTGAAGCTCCATAAACCCACTGAACATCATGCTAGAATTTGTCTCTATGTTGGGCCTTGTATTATGCTCATTTTATTGTCTGTCCCTCCTGAAATGCAGGTTCTAGGAAGGAGGATCTTGTGTGTTATACCTGGTATTGTACCTCTCAATATTTGGGTAAATGCCTGGAAGAATAGGAAAGGAGCAATCCTGGCCAATACTCAAACACTAAGCTGTTAGGTTAGGCATGCTCTTGTCAATTTATGGGCTGTGGTGGACATCACTCATCCATTCTTGTATTTGGAATTCTAGGCACCAGTAACTTCCATAATTTTTTCTCTTCTCATCTAAACATTCAAGATGATTTTACCTGAAAATTGCTTCTATCCCTCCTAAATTTGTGAGGTTATGAAACATAAATAGAATACAGCATTTTCTTTTGCCTTTTTTTTTTTTTTTCTATATGGCACACAAGCTTTCCAGAGAGACAAATGGAAAGTGAGTCTCTTCCCCCCCCCCCCCCCCCCCTCCGGGTCACCACTCAAACCCCCCTTTTTTCTATTCCCTTGTCAGGCTTTTGGGCATGCATACACATGCACCCAGCATGAGGTCCCAGGTCTGGGACTTGAATAATGGCTGCCCACCTGGGAGTCCAGCATCTTCACCACTACATTGAATTTTTAGAAGCAGTTTGAATTCTTTTTTCACTTCACTATGTGCTTCAGTTCCCAGAATTGGTTGCATTCTGTAAAGCTTAGTAGGTAAGATCACTACTGCAGCTGTTACTATCTGTTCATGCTCATTACCTTCTGTGGGTGGGTTCATGGGCAATAAAAATAATCCCACATTTGGAATTTAGAATGAATTTTATATTTTACAGAATTATAATAATGTTCTAATAGTTTCTATTGGAATTAATACCTTATGCAAAAATAAAGGAATTAACTTTCTTCTGGAAAGTAAAAACACAGCACTTTACAGGGAGGCAGTGCCCCCATCCCTACTCCCAATACCACTTGTTGAAGAACTCTGCTAACCCAACCTCGGGCCAGCTGCTGGATGGACTGGTATTTGTAGCAGTGTCCTCCTTCCTTCCAGGCCGAAACAAACATAGTAAGTCAGCAAGGCATCGCCCAGCCGGTGCTGAGCAAACTCTTCTTGGCTGGCTAAGAACAACCAGTCTTAGACATGTTTTTCCCAGTTACCTTTCAGTTCTGATTACATGAGCAACTATTTATTGAGGGCAATTTGTCGTTCCAGTTATGAGGCTATAGATAGTCTACATCTCCTTAGACACCCCATGTGCTGAGCTACAGTTGCCTGATAGCCTTGTAGTTCTTTCTGCTTTGAACATGCTTTTGCCCTCCCATAGAGGAACTGAGTTTTGCTACCGTGATGGCATACAAAAATGAATACTTGATGATGCTAGGTCCCTTGGCTCATTCTCATGGGTGCATGGAGATACCATTTATTAAGGCAAGGATTACTGGGGAAATAGAATTAATGATTATTAGTCCAGGGAATGTGTGTTCAGTTTCCCAGATGTTTCAAAAGGTAGGTGAACATGCATGCATGGAATTCCAATTCGTCTGAGGTGGACATGAAGATATGGGGGTCATTAGTATGTAAATAGCATTTAATACTATGGAGTAAGCTAAAAGCCCCTCTTGCTCCTGCCTGACTGGTAACCTTTGTCTTATTGCTAACATTGAGCTTCTTGTCTTTTGCCACACATGCCACAAAGTATGTGTCTTTGGTGACGCTCACTCTGCTGAATCCATAAACTTTCCTGCAATTCCCAGTTTTACTTAATCCTCAGATCAGAGGTCCCACTGATTGTGTTCCTATATGCTTCTATTATTCTTGCTACATTGTGCTTCAGTTATTTATTTCTTTATTTATTGTGAG